GGGCTAGGTTTGAACCTGCCACCTCTGGCATATGGGGCCAGCGCCCTACTCCTTTGAGCCACAGGCACTGCCCTTTTTTTTTTTTTTTTTTTTTTGACAGAGTCTCACTTTGACACCTATGCTGGAGTGTCATGCATGGCACCAGCCTAGCTTACGGCAACTTCACTCTTCTGGTCTAGAGCAATTCTCCAGCCTTAGCCTCCCACATAGCTGAGACTCCAGGGGCCCCTCCACAACACCCAGCTAATTTTTCTATTTTTAGTAGAGACAGGGTCTCACTCTTTCTCAGGCTGGTCTCGAACCCCTGAGCTCAAGGGATCCTCCCACCTGGAGGAAATCTCAGAGTTCTCGGATTACAGGCGTGAGCCACAGTGCCTGGCCTCATTGGGTTACTTCTTTGTAACCCATGTTATTGTACCATGTTTAAAAATTTCTCACTACATCCCATTCTTGATTCATAACTAAATCAAAACATCTCAGTTGCTTTGCAAGAAAAATGGGAAAAAGTAAAGGAAAAGAGACGTAGGTGATGTTTGCAGTGAAGTTTTGCATCCTTTATTGCAGACAGGAAGATGTCACTGTCACTCAGGTTCAGGCCCTGCTGCCCTGTAAGGAAAGATTTTACTGTGCCTTGCTCCGTCCAAGCAGTGTTAGAGATGAGTGCTGCAGTGGCCTGTGGCGTCATCTGTCTCTGCTCAGTGTGAGCTCAGTGCAGTCCTTGCTCATTTTCTCTCTGCATCTAATCACAGAAGAGGAGAACCATCTGGGCTGGTTCTGTGTGGAAGATGACGGGAATCAAATTAAAAAGGAGAAGCACCCTCTCCTCGTTGGACACATGCCCGTGATGGTGGCAAAGCAGCAGGAGTTCAAGGTGAAAGGCGGTGGGGCTCAGGTGTCTGTGCCCCTGCGGACCACACCTTCCCTCTGACAGGGGACTTGAGAGAGTGCCGGTGAGGGCCACAGGCAGAACGCTGTCTTTCTAGGTTAGCCATAGCTACTGCTTCTCTGGAGGTAATTTAGTTAGAAATGAGTTAAGGTGGTTGTTGTTGGAAACCTAATGATGTTGGCAGTGACGTCTGTTCCTGGGCAGGACCCTGGCCTGCTCAGACAACTCCACTGCAGGGGACACCGTTAGTTAAGTAGGGAGATGTGTGTCACACCTTCCAGCTCGTTGGGCCCATGCTTGGCCCGTGGGCAGTTTCCAGGAAGATGTGAGGTCTCGGTGCTGCTGGAGGTGCCCACCATGCCAGCCCTCCGTCTCCAGGGTGGCACTGTGTTAATGTCTGTGGTGCTGCTGAGTCAGCAACAGGCGGTGCCTTCAGGGACTTCCAGGATGTGTACATGCGTCTTTCTTTAAGGAATGTACAAAGACGTTTTTATTTCTCATTCCTGGTCTCTGGCTGACAGGCTTGTGGCCTGGTCCTCTGTAGCTCCCACAAGCACCCCCTTGGGAAGCCTAGGGGCCCCGGATGGGACGGGGACAGGAAGGGCTGGGTGCTGAGGGGGACGTGCCGACTGCAGACCACAGCCTTTCCGTCCAGGCTGCCTCCTGTCTGACTCTCGGGGAAGCTGACTTCAGCCTTGGGAAGAGGCCTGGGGAGTAAAACACCCAGTCTGCTTGGGGGTTCGCTTCTAAGCTGCCACCTTCTAAGGCTTACTCTTGAAACTTCTGTCTTTCCTATTTTAATCTTTGGCTGGCAATGAATCGGAAATTTCTGTGGTTCTGTGTTAGCAATGTGCCATGCATCGAAGGCTTGCTGTGGTCTAGAAGCCGCATTTTACGTGTGTCTGATTTCATTGCATTTTAGATTGAATGTGCTGCTTACAACCCTGAACCCTGCCTGAGTAATGAGACGCAGCCAGACTCATTCTCCGCAGTGCACGGTTTCCTGTGGGTGAGTGTCTTTGTTTCCAGTGCAGGTTCGCAAGGAGTCGACATCCACAGTGAGTGTGGGGAGAAATGTGCGTTTAAATTGTTCAGTGGAGCGTTGTTAGTTGCTGACATAACCTCAGAGGATATTTTCAAACATGAAAACTCTCCCTGAAAGGGATCTGATTACTTTTGGAAAAGATGTCATATTCCTAGCAATTAAAATGTTAGTGTCTTTTCTTTTAAATCTAAAACCTCGAGCAGATATAAAAGACACTTACGGCTTGGTGCCTGTGGCTCAAGTGGCTAAGGCGCCAGCCACATACACCTAAGGTGGCGGGTTCGAATCCCCAGCCCGGGCCTGCCAAACAACAATGATGGCTGCAACCAAAAAATAGCTGGGCGTTGTGGCGGGCGCCTGTGGTCCCAGCTACTTGGGAGGCTGAGGCAGGAGACTCGCTTGAGCCCAGGAGTTGGAGGTTGCTGTGAGCTGTGATGCCACGGCACTCTACCCAGGGGGACAGCTTGAGGCTCCATCTCAAAAAAAAAAAAAAGACACTTACCTAGTGTGAGCATAATTTTTAATATTTCTTCAATTTTGGTGGTTAAATTGCATGGAATTTTTCTGCTTCCAAGACGAGCTTTTTTTTCTGGAAACTTAGCAGTTAAAGTTAATTTGTTCCAAATGACATGCAGCGTCTGAAATTACGCTGCAATTGCAACGGATGTTTCTGGTTCCTGCAAAGTCGAGGACGTGCCTCTGCTGTGTGGTCCGAGTCCCTCTCGCCTCCCTCCCTGAGCCGCTCTCTGCAGCCCCTCAGACCCGCCCTCCAGGCCCACCCTAACTTTCCTCCCAGGCATCCTCTGCACCAGATTCCATCCTCCCCTCCTGGCAGCCAAAGCTTCAGCTTGGTCAGTGTTTCAGTTGACTATTAAAAATGGAAGGACCTCCTGAGCTGGTATTTCAGTCCTACCAGCCTATGAATGAAGGGCTAGGCTTAGTTCCCTTGGGGCTGTCCAGTTTTGAAGGACAACTGTTTCCACCCAGGCCAGCGGACCTGTAATTCATTCCCTGGCCTGGTCACACCCGCTCCCTGCAGGCCGGTAAATGGGCTTGGCAAGTTGGCACCCTCCCCCTGAAAGTGTTGAAGTAGGATGTTTCTCTGTAGCATGGAACAAATGTAGGAAGAACAAGGAGAGTGTAACCACATTCTCAAAGTTGGTGGAAAAGGAAAAAAATGAGTGAATATCCTGAACCAGCCAGGACTTTGCGTTAACAAGGATCAGGCTCTCTGCCCATTAAAAACAAGGCAATTTAAGTTTAAGTTGGGAAACTAACTGTGCTGCGTGTTCTCACTGTAAAGATTTGAACACGTAGGAAGATCACAAACAGAAACGCTGCAATGCACGACAGCACGTGGTGACTGTGAAGGTCCGGTCAGGATACGTTCCTGCTGATTTTTCTCATTTGAAAGACTTGGGGTTTTATTTTTTTAGCTAAGATTTGTTAAACATTAGTGTTATTTAAAGTTGACATTAATTTATTTTTTAGAACTTTAAAATGTGTGTGACTAGGCCTTTAGCATTGTACAGTGAGGGCTATGTGGTTTTTAAACTATATAAATGCATCTCTTAAAAGTTAGTTATGTTCTTTTTGTTAGAATTTTGTAAAAAGCCCAATTAAGTATGTTGAAAAGGAAAGCGGCCCGTTAGCAGACTGTCTAAGCATTGCTCTGTTGTTCTGGGTTCTCATGTGGCCGCTAAGCGCCAGCTTTCCGAGTGTCGTGGACGCGTCCAATGTTCATTTTCTTCCCCTTTGTCTCGTGGTTCAGATTGGAAGTTGTACCCACCAAATGGGCCAGATCGCCATTGTCTCGTTTCAAAATTCCAACCCTAAAGTCATCGAGTGCTTCAATGTGGAGTCTCGCATCCTGTCCATGGTGCACATCCCCGCCGAGGAGAAGCACCGAGAGCCCAGCACAGCCCCGGAGCCCGCAGCCGCCTCCTCCGGGAGAGCTGGCGACACCCCCACTGTCTGTGTCGGGGCAGAGGAGGGAAGGTAGAGCAGGGCGCTGTCCCCCACCCCAGCAGTGGGAGACTGTCCCAGGAAGGGCGCTGACTTGGTGTCAGGAGCAGTGTGTGTGGGAGCTGAGGGGTGCAAGGGGAGAGTTAGGGTCACTGCACTTTGGAATAACCAGTGAGTTGGGCCCGTGGAAATCATTCCAGAAAACTATGCAAGAGTAGTGGTATTTCTTTAAAAGGGAAAAGTTTTAGTCCTACCGCGCAATTTGCGAATAAATACTCCGTCCAGCACACCACTCCTTACAGAGTTTGGAGGAAAGCAGCCGTAGTCTATCTTGTAATCATAGTGGATATCAGCACGGTTTAGAGGAGAAGTAAAGTTGTTTTCTCGATGTGGGGTTCCACCATGCGTAGCAAGAACTATTTTTTTTCTTAATAGCCTAGAATTTCTCTTTAAAAGTAAAAGAAATCTAAGTGGTCACAGACATTTTAAAAATGTAGCCAGTGTGTCCAGTAGTGGGGCAGGGTGGCAGGACTGGAGTGAGATGTTGAACACATTTGCAGTGACAGGTACTCTCACTGTCCCATGGAGAGCAGATATATTTATTAGCTTTTATCTTTCTTTTAAAGCATTTCTGTTTATAAAAGCAGTCAAGGCTCCAAGAAGGTGAGACTTCAGCACTTCTTCACTCCCGAGAGGTCCACAGTCATGAGCCTGGCAGGCTCACCGCGGAGCCTGTATGCGGGCCTGGTGGACGGGGCGGTGGCCAGCTATGCCAGAGCCGAAGGTGAGGCGGGTCACCTGGGCTGGGCCCCTGCTCCAGGCTTGTCCTCTGCACCTGTCTCCCTTTGTCCTGGGAACTGTGTGGCTCCCTTCTTCCCCCAAAGGCGTCGATTGGGCACTTGGGATGCGTCTCAGTACTCATGGTCCTCCCATTCCCCAGGTGAGGATTTCTGTACCTACCTCCTCCCTGCAGCCCCTTGCCCACTGCTCCTGGGTGGGCCTGTGCTTTCAAGTCACTGGGTTGACCACCTGACCTGCTTGTAGCCCAGCAGGGCCTTCTGGGTGCTGGGCAGGCTGCCTGGCCTCCTGCTACAGCCTCTGTGGGGGGTCCGCTGGGCTCCCCAGTGCCCAGAGCAGCACAGTCTCCACACTGCCCTGCGCCTAGATTTGCCCTTCCTGCCCCTTCTCTTTCCCTCCGACTTCCAGCACAGCAGGCTTTGGGCCATTCTGCCTGGTCAGCACTTCCTTCCTGACATCCGTGCCTTCCTGATGTGAGCACCCCATCCTGTCTGCCCCCTACTCTCCTCATGGAACTCTCCAGATGACTTGTCTTTGAGCTGATACCCCCGTGCCCATCGCGGGTTCGTTTGTCTGTTTCTGTAATCTCTGCCAACTTTGCGGTCCAGCTTTCCGGTCTTCCCTTCATGCAGATGTGTCAGGCTGTGTCACACCTATGAGCTCTCTGGGATCCCCCCTCCTCAGCTCCCATGTTTGAACCTGTTGCCAGAGTCCAGTGCTTTCTTAGTCTTAAATAGTCATTTCCCCAGGTCCAAGTTCTCATCACTTCACGGTTTCCAGACTGGTTCCTTGTGTTTCAGTTGGGTATTATTTGGATATTTAGGGAGAAAAAATCACACTTCCATCTTTATATTTAAAATGGCAACTTCGTCAGAAGGGTAAAGTGCAGGAAGGAAGGGCTGGCATTGCCTCGGGGCCCTTACAGGGACCCGTGTCTGGGCTGCAGTGTGTCAGCCCTGCGTCCCCAGGCTCTGGTGTCTTGTGGCACCATCATCCCCATTTGGGGGATTTTGTGGGTGTGACAAGGGCAAGCTATCTGTAGAAAGAACATCTGAGGAGCTCAGGACACAGAGTTCAATTGTGGGAGGTTGAGCCTTAACCAAGGTGAAACGTCTGAAGTAGGTCACCCCACCATCTTTCATCTTGAGATCCAGTTTCAGAGGGATTGTGTGGCCAGTGGGGAATGCTGAGCTGTCCTGGGCAAGTATCTAAGGACGCACACACAGGTGGGGCAGTGACTAGAGTCCTTACCTAGGACTCGGGAACCTCTGTTCTCATGCTGTTGCACTCAGTGGCATGAGTGTGAGAGGGAAAATGTATTTCTGTTCTGAACCTGTGTATTCCCATTAAATGTGCTTTAGTGTAAAGGGTTCTGAGTACCAGATGGGAACGTTTGTACACCTGTGCACACACACAAATGCAAAGGCACGTGTATGTGCATGTGTACACCTGTGCTCATTCTGTGTGCATGCATGTGGGGGTGAGTGGAGTGTGTGCACATGTGTGTGTCTGTATGTGCATGCATGCATGAGTGTGTGCATGTGGGGGTGAGTGTGGGGTGTGTGTACACGTGTGTTTTGGTATATGTGTCTGTATGTGCATGCATGCATGGGTGTGTGCATTCATGCTTAGCCCCCTGATGACACACTGGACGCAGTGCTGATACTCTGGATGAAAGGCATGCCAGTGTCCACTGGAGCTGATAATGGTCGTGAAATGCTTTGTAGCCTAATTGCAACACAAAAGCGTTGTGGTTAAAGTTGTACAGCTGCCGTTTAGTGACTGTGCACGTTAGCTCAGGGTTGACGCTACGTAGGTTTATAATCAGAGCTCCTCTGCTTCCATTCCAGAACACAGAGATGAGAACTGGGATCTTGTTCCCTTTGTTGAACAAAGCGTGTTTATGTCAGGGCTCAGAAGCATGATGGATTAATCGCCTCATTACATTTTTAAGCTTCATGGCTTACTTAACTGGTTACACTGAGTATTATTCACTTGAATTGTGTACAGAATAATTACATGAATCACTATTTCAATTTGTGTTAAACCTTGCATCAAGTAATTTTTTTGTTGCTATCTAAGCTATCCACTCACACTTCATGTAAAGACCTCACCAGTAGATCCTTGAAAGTATTTTCAAAAGAAAATATTTTATGGGCGGTACCTGTGGCTCAGTCGTTAGGGCGCCAGCCCCATATACTGAGGGTGGCGGGTTCAAACCCAGCCCTGACCAAAGTGCAACAAAAAATAGCCGGGCGTTGTGGTGGGTGCCTGTAGTTCCAGCTACTCGGGAGGCTGAGGGAAGAGAATCGCCTAAGCCCAGGAGTTGGAGGTTGCTGTGAGCTGTGACATCATGGCGCTCTACCGAGAGCAATAAAGTGAGACTCTGTCTCGAAAGATATATACATATATATATATTTTATCACTCCAGGGGCTTCAGAAGAGGAGCAAGTTTATCAAAAGAAAGGATTCTTTTTACCTTGATTTTGATTTTTTTCATATTCTGTGAAGATATGGACTCTCTCTGTGATAAAGCATATAACAAGGGATTTTTTTAAATTGAAGCAGGTAATATGGAAATTCAAACACGTGCCTGATTATTTTGGATGCAATTCTTTTTAATGGTGACCAAATCACGTTATATATTATTATTGTAAATAATGGTATTTGTTGACCATCTATATGCCAAGTGCTGTACCCAACATGTTACGTACATTAGCTCATTTTTAATTCTTACAGTGACCTTTGAGGCTGGTGGTCAGGTTGCCCTTATTTTACAGTTAAGGAAACTAAGATGTAGAGTGAATGAATGATTTCTCTATGACGCTTACCAAGTGGACCCCTGGCCCCAGTTCCTCCATGCTCACAGGCCATGATGGACTTCCTTATCCCTGGAAGGGTAAGGAATAATCACACACAGGCGTCAAAATTCTGAATGATTTTTCAGTTGTCTGTTACTTAGAATGATCTGTCATCCTGTTTCCCTGTCTCTGTGCACAGATAACTGAACTTGAATGAAATTAAATATTTTCTTTTAAGATGGATCCTGGAATTCTGAACCTCAAAAGGTGGTAAAACTAGGCGTCCTACCAGTCAGAAGTCTACTCATGATGGAAGACACCTTGTGGGCGGCTTCTGGAGGCCAAGTTTTTGTCATTAGCTTGGAGACGCATGCTGTGGAGGTGAGTTGCCCTCAGTGGCTGCCTGGCTGGGCAAGATGTGTTTGAGAGACAGCCCCACTGACCCCCCACCCTGAAATCAAAGAGCCTCTGGCATGTGGGAAATTCAGGTAGCCTCTTCCTGTGGCCACAGGCAAAAGAAAATTCCTTCTAGATTTTGTTTAGAAAAGATAAGATTAAGAAAACTCAGCTCTTTTAATTGTTTATCCATGTTCATTGGTTACCTGCTAAGTAATGGAAATATATTACTTTAAAAAATATATTCAGTGTGAACAGAGCCCTCAAGGACTTTCAGGAATTTGACTGAAGTCATATTTCCATGTAGTGGGGTAAACTGGCATTCGCTACAGACAGCTGGACCTCATGCCCCAGCCCGGTTCCCTTGTAAACATTCCAGATGGAAAGAAATTCCAACCCTAAAATGAAAACACAAACATACAATATGAAGAACAGTAGGATGTATTTATTACTTTGCAATGGGGAAAGCCTCTCCAAGCATGCCACAAACCCAGACGCTGTCATAAGAAAGAATACGATAAAATAAAGTATGTAACCTTTTTTGTATCTAATATATGTGCATGTATATCCAGATTTCTATAAAACGAGCTGGGTGAGGTGACTCATGGTGAAAGCTTCGCACTCTGGGAGCCCAAGACCGAAGGATCACTGAGGCCAGGATTTCAAGACCAGCCTGAGCAAGAGGCTGCAAGATCCCCTTTTATTAAAAAATCTAAATCAGCCCAGCATGGTAGCACTTGTACTCCCAGTTCTTGGGAGACTGAGGCAGGAGGATCACTTGAGCCCAGGAGTTTGAGGTTGCAGGGAGCTGTAATGGTGCCACGGCACTCTACCCGGGTGGCAAAGTGAGACCCTGTCTTGAAAAAATGATTATAAATGAAAACTAGGGAAAATCTTTCCTGCACATATAAGCAAGAATTAGTGTTCTTAAAATAAAAAAAATTCTTAATACATTTTAATAAAAATACAACCAACCCAATAAAAATGTTCAAAGGCCGTGAAGAGGGAATACAAATAAGCTGTATGCTCACGTGCACTATAGCCTCATTAATGACTAAAATTGCCTTTAAAACAAGGTAGTTTTTATTCATAAGAATTATTTTTAGAGCAGTTTTAGGTACATAGCAAAAATTGAGTGAAAAGTACAGAATTTCCCCAATACCCAGCCCCGCACACACACCCCAGAGTGGAGCATTTGCTACAGTTGATGAAGCGACCCTGACCCGCTGCTCCACCCACCCAGCATGGACGGCTGATATGAGGGCTCACTGCTGGTACGCATGTTCTGTGGGGCTGGACACGTGTACGGTAACACAAACCCCCTGCTATGGCACCATCCCCTGTGCTGTGCCTGCTCATCCCCCCCACCCCTAGGCCTTGGCAAACATAACCGCCCATGCTGTCCAGCCGGTGAATGTGTGGGTGCCCTCCCCACGGCTTGGCAGGGCTCCTCAGTACCCCATGCAGTGTCTCTGGGAGGCAGACGTGTGTTACCAATTAGCGTTTGCAGAGCTTATACCGTTTTCCCAAGCAGTTTGTCTCTAGAAACGCACTCTGGGTCAGCTTGCCTGGGGTGTAAGGATCCAGGCAGGGTGCAGGGGTACAGCCCACAGACCTTAGGGCAGGGCCTTCTTGCTAGAATACAGACAGTGGATAGAAACATTTGAGATTATTTTTCTGGTATTGTGACAGTAACCTTTTGTTACTTTGTAGATCCATCTGATAGATTTTATTTCCTATAGCATGAGAGTAAGAGGCTTCAGTCTAGCTCGGAGCCATAGGTGAAGAATGCTCTTGAGCAATGTTGCCCCCGATGCCAGTTGAGTCCTCACTGTACACCGTCAGTAATACCGTCAGTAATGGTGTCCTGGTGATTACTGTCTCAGTGATTATTCATTTAAGGAGGCACAAGGCTCAGGCCCTGACTTAACTGTATAGCATAAGGTGATCTTGGATAAGCCACTTAACTGAGCCTCAGCTTTCTGATCTGTAAATTGGAGGTAATTGTCTTTTCTTGGGCTGCTTCCTGGATGAAATCAGATGAAAAAGCATCCATTGGAATACTTTGAATGAACATTGGCATGATAGCTGCTATTTGTTATTAGAATAAAGTATTATTAGAACAAATATACAAGAGCCAGGTATAATATTTTGTTACTCTGTATTTGCTTTTTTTTTCCACACAGAAGGAATAATGGCATTTCTTTAAATTATTTCTCCCTAAACAGTGAATTCTTCTTGTCATAGATAACTGTCAAAAAAGCTGGAATGATGGTTTCTGTAGCTATCACCAAGCAGCTTTCAGGATAACATAACATTCCCAAATTATGACTTTATTATAATCAAAACGTGGTTTCCACATGTTCCAGAGACTTTATATACTGTAAATCTTGAAGACTCAGAAGTAATATGTTTGGATCCAAATAAAGTCTCCTCTTTCTGCATGTTTTAGTACCAAAATAACTAAAGACATTTATAGAGAGAAGCAAAAATCTGCTCTCTTCTGAAAAAAATGAAGCTCCCCATGTAGTTCCTGTTGTGCAGGGAACTGCAGCGGACGTGCTGGTGCAGCCCTGAGACGTGCTCTGTCCATATGTCCACCCTGCTGGGGACAACTGCTGGGGGAACCTTCCCGACAGTCACATGCTGAGGGCACAGGGCTGGGCCTGTGGGCTGCAGAAAACATGGGGTGGGGGTGGGTGGGAGCAGGATGGAAGAAAAAGGTAACTGAAGCTCCAGAGCTTAAATGTTCTTAGAGTGACGTCCCTAGGATAGTAGCTGGTACGTTCAGTGCAGAGGCAGCCCTGAACACCAACACCATCCTGGTACACTCTCAGGACCCCTGTGCAGAGGCAGCCCTGAGCACTGACACTGTCCTGGTGCAATCTTGGGACCCTGTGCAGAGGCAGCTCTGAGCACCGATACCATCCTGGTGTCAGGCTGCAGTCACCTGGACTGCCACACAGTGTAGGCTGTGTCACCTGGACTACCCTGCAGTGTAGGCTGTGTCACCTGGACTACCCTGCAGTGTAGGCTGTGTCACCTGAACTGCCCTGCAGTGTAGGCTGTGTCACCTGGACTGCCCTGCAGTGTAGGCTGTGTCACCTGGACTGCCCTGCAGTGTAGGTTGTGTCACCTGGACTGCCACACAGTGTAGGTTGTGTCACCTGGACTGCCACACAGTGTAGGCTGTGTCACCTAAACTGCCCTGCAGTGTAGGCTGTGTCACCTGGACTGCATGCAGTGTAGGCTGCGTCACCTGGACTGCATGCAGTGTAGGCTGCGTCACCTGGACTACCCTGCAGTGTAGGCTGTGTCACCTGGACTGCCCTGTAGTGTAGGCTGTGTCACCTGCTACCCTGCAGTGTAGGCTGCGTCACCTGGACTACCCTGTAGTGTAGGCTGTGTCACCTGGACTGCCCTGCAGTGTAGGCTGTGTCACCTGGACTGCCCTGTAGTGTAGGCTGCGTCACCTGGACTACCCTGTAGTGTAGGCTGCGTCACCTGGACTACCCTGTAATGTAGGCTGCGTCACCTGGACTACCCTGCAGTGTAGGCTGCGTCACCTGGACTACCCTGTAGTGTAGGCTGTGTCACCTAGACAGCCACACAGTGTAGGCTGTGTCAGCTAGACAGCCACACAGTGTAGGCTGTGTCACCTGGACTGCCCTGCAGTGTAGGCTGTGTCACCTGAACTACCCTGTAGTGTAGGCTGCGTCACCTGGACTGCCCTGCAGTGTGGGCTGCGTCACCTGGACTGCCACACAGTGTGGGCTGCGTCACCTCGACTACCCTGCAGTGTAGGCTGCGTCACCTGGACAGCCACACCGTGTAGGCTGTGTCGCCTCGACTACCCTGCAGTGTAGGCTGCGTCACCTGGACAGCCACACAGTGTAGGCTGTGTCACCTCGACTACCCTGCAGTGTAGGCTGCATCACCTGGACAGCCACACAGTGTAGGCTGCATCACCTGGACTTTTTTCGGGCCTCCTCAAGTCCATGTGGCTTTTTTTTCTGTCTCTAGTTCATTTAATTTCTTTAAAAGTTCAGAGTGTCAGGAACACTGAGGCAGTTCTAGCATAACCTGCTATTTAGGGAAAGGCTAATTATTCTGGATTCCTGGCAGGTGTTGACTTCACAGGTTCGTTCTTAGAGCTGTGAATCACAGTTTTAGTTTAATCCAAACCTGTTGCTCCTCACTCTGGTGTTTGCAACGTGCAGTGCTCTTGCCTGAAGAGGGAAGGGGAGACAGAGAAGAGCGAGGGAAGGGGTTCTCCCCCAGCCCCCACCCAGCAACAGTGGGACATGCGAGGCGCTTATCTGGGTTAAGAACTCCAGGGTTGAAGCCCAGAAAGCTGGGGGGTTTTAAGCTTCCTCCCAGAAGTTTCCAGGAGGAAAAAGAAAGCAGGGAGAGCAGTGAATCAGCCCCGGTGACTTCAGCGTGTGGAGGAGGACAAGTGGCTTCGCCCCTTCCTTCCCCCCCTCGCACGCCACACTGTTTTGTTCGAACCTCTCTCTGGAAGCCTCCTCTGCCCAGCAGTTTCCCAGGGAGCCATCTCTACTTTGCCCGGGGCTGACGGAAGGCACCAGGAACATGGAGGCGCAGGCAGCAGGTAGCATGTCCCTCCAGAGATGTGGAGATGTGAGATGGATCCTTAAGTGGCAGCGTGAGTGGTGGCAGCTCGGAGGGAGCTGGTGGCCCCTCTGCTGCCATCGTGGCCTCAAGTATTTGGCCACGAACAAGGCCATGGGCATTAAGACCTGCCTGCCCTTCCTCCAGCTTGTCTTGGCAGTGTGATTTCTGAGAGAAATCTGTACATCTGTAGTTTCCAAAAGATCAAATGGATGCCCCCCCACCCCACCCCCCGGCTGACAGAAAGGTCAACACTTAGCTGCCCCCATGAGGACAGTGGTGGCAGGAGGGCAGAGCCTCCTGTGAAGGCCCAGGGTCCTCTTGGTCCCCAAGATTTCCTGCTCCCAGGAGTG